TTTTTTTGTATTAGCTAAGACTTGCTTTGTGTCCTAAAGTATGCTCTGTTTAAGAGAAAGCTCCACAAGCAACTGAGAAGAAAGTGAATTCAGTTGTTGATGACGTATTCAAAAGATGTCTGTTCAGTTCTTTTGATTAATGGTTTTAAAAAGATACTTGTTTTAAAATTATTTTTAATTGTTCTAGAGAATCTTAGGTTTTCTCTGAATGACCTATCCAATAGTGAGAGAGGTGTGTTAAAATTATCCAGTATTATTGTCCTCAGGCCTATTTGAGTCTTTACATTTTGTAGGATTTGTTTTATGGCTGAGATGCACCAATGTTTGAGGCATGAACATTCACTGTCATTACTTCTTGTTCGATGACTCCTTCAACCATTATGAGTTGACCTTTATGTCTTCTGAGTAATTTTAGCTTGACTTCTACTTTGTCTGACATGAGAGAGTAGCTACTCCTGCTCACTGTTGGCCTCCATTTGTCTATAGAGTGTCTTATCAACAACATATCATTGGGTCTTCTTTTGTAATCCACTATGTCAGTCTTGTGATGGGAGAGTTTCAACCATCCATATTCAGTGTTACTAAAGAGAGATCATTTTTTATTTCCTGCCATTCTGTTTTATTCCTATGATTGAGAGTGACTGTCCCTTGACTATTCTTCTAGCAACATTCATCCACATGCTGACTCTGGCATTTATTTTTAATTTCTTTTGCATGTTGGACTTTACTGAGTGGGCTTTATAGTACAGGATTAATGGTTATGAATTCTTTTTATTTCTGCTTACCATGGAAAGATGTATTTCACCTTCAGTTATGAAGTGTAGTTTTTTGCAGGATATAGTAATCTTGACTGGCACCCGTTATCTTTTAGGGGTTGGTATGTATTATTCCAAGTCCTCCTGGCTTTTAATGTCAGGCTGAGAGATCTGAAGAAAACCTCGTTAGCTTACCTCTAAATGTGACACAATTTTTCTCTTGTGGCTTTTAAAATCCCTCCTCACGGACTTCTTCATATTGTCTTTGACTGTTGGGCTGTGAATGTAGGCCCTCTGTGGGCAAGATATGGTGGAGAAGCCTCCACCCTGGCTGATGTCCATCCTGGGGTACCATCCCCATGGCAGGGTTGCAGTCAGCCCACCTTCTTCTGAGCTCCCACAGCTGGCAGCCATACATCCCTGAGCTCCCACGCCCCTCTGCTGCGGCTTCTTAGTTGTGCTGCTAAGTGTTTGTTAGTTGTCTGTAACTTGGGGTCCTGTGGTTGCAGGCTCTGTGGGGATGGTCTCTGACCCAGAAGCCTCACCCTGGCTCCTGCAGACCCCAAGGTTTGGCCCATCTCTGACAGGGGTGGGATCTGAGCTCTTGTAGATGATGTGGGAGCACTAAATGGGGGTTAGCAGCCTTTGAGAGTGATTAGCTCAGCTCTGCTCCACCCCACTCTCCTTTCCTGAGGTGATGGGGAGGGGGTTTCTGTAACCTTCACAAAAATCCCTATACATGTTCCTTCGAGATCGATTCCTGAGACAACCCACTCCAGAGATGTTCCCTTTGGTTTTATTTGCTGCTATCAGAAGATGGAGAGAAGCTGTATTTATTTAATTTCTTCTAGGGCAACTGGCTATGGACTGTACCAAGTGGCCGCCCTGCCCAGCACAGCTCTCTGCCTGTACATTGGGTTCAGCTGCTTGACCTCCTTCACAGTCTTTGCTGCTCCTCCCACTTTAACTTACTCTGCTTCTCTTTCTAGCTGTTGTTGAGGAAGTGAGCTGAGGGCTTTTTCCTCTTAATCTTTCTCTCTCCCCACTCCCCCACCCCCCTCCCTGCCGTCCCCCTACTCCACCCTGGTCAGGGTTTGGGGTCAAGGAATTCTGTCCTTATTTTCTACTCCTGTGGTCTAAATTCAAATCCCTCTAAGTTCTGACCTGCCCAACACTGAATTCTAGAAGTCCCCTCTGGGCCCTTTTGTTGCTTTGCTTCTGGGCTGTGGAAGAGTCCAAGGTGGCTTCCTGTACCTGCTCTGCCATCTTCCGGCTGCCCTGGGTCTCTTGTCATCTCATGGTGGCTCCCTCCTCTGTGTTCCCACTTGTGCCTCCTCTGGTCCTGGCTCAAGGGGCTGCAGGTCTGGAACCTGTGACATCACAATACACGTGCCCACCCCCACTCTAGCTTAATGCCATTGAGAGCATCTGATTGGCCCCTGGGCAGCCAATAGCTTGACAGGTTTTGTTGCATATGTTCACCTTGGACACCAGAGAACACGGCTTTCCTGGAGAGCAGCAGGTTGGGAGGCCTCCTATGAACTTTAATTTGGGGAGAGCCATTGCAAGAAGGAGGTAAGTGACATTCAGGACTTCCTACAGACCCATGGACAAGTTTTATTAGATATGTGAAAACAGATCTGGTCAGGAAAGCTGAATCAAGCAGCACACAGACAATGTACCCTGGGTGCTGTTGTAATAGTATTTTTTCCTTCAACCTCTGAGCAAATAAGGGTGCCATCTACTTTTCAAACTGGAGCACTGTCTGATGGCTTTTTCCAAAAGCAACTTATTTTAAAATTGTTTAGGGCCATGAAACCTACATGACAAGCCAAAAGCCAATAGCTGCTTGGCAGTTTTGGTAGAGCTACAGGGAGTGGCTCTCAGGACAGTAACTATGCTACTACTCTCGGGTGGGAGAGCTAATAGCATCGCAGCTAGAAATCACCTATCTGAGGGTGGTTTGCTCTGCATAAATAACAAGACCCAAAAACCCCAGAAAATGTTCAGTGTTATTTCCTGTATGTGTATTTTATTCTTATTTATTGCTGCTACAATGTTGGATTGTTCTGAACGCTGATGGAAGTCCTGGTGAGTTCTTGAGTAAACTCAGTTTTTCCAAGACTGCACCCACTTTCTCCCTCGGCTGTTCTCTATGGTGAGTGAAGTTTTAATTTCTTCTGCATGTGTGCTAATGATATTGGAATCCATTTTTCCCCTTCAGTGTTTTCTACTGATATTTACTGAAATATTGTTTTGTCTACATATAATCCACATCTAAGTTGTCTACATTCCCTGGGTGGGAATTCCTTCAAAATTTATGTTTTTTGTTATTATTGCTGCCCACTTCACTCTGCCTCCGAGTAGAGGGTGGAAATTGATGTGGGTGCCAATTATTTCACAGTGCACCTTGCTTTTTAGTCACCGGTAGGCTATGAGCCACTCTACTGGCATTTGTTCTCATAATGACTCCTACAGAGGACAGACTCCATCTCCAAGCACATTTGGGGTATTTCTCTCTGTGTTACAGCACTCACTGCCGCTGATGTATTTCTATTAGCTATGTGATTCCATAATTTCTCAGCACTAGTTGGCCACTATTTCAAATCCGGCTCTGTTTTCTTATATATGATATACAGCACATTGTATTTTTCCTACAAAACTATTTTAAAAATAATTTCCCATGCATTCGTGATGTAAAAGTAGTTGTTTTCTCCCATAAATATTTTCTTAAGGAAATAGAAGCGTGTTTTCTACTCTGTTATGTCTTATAGAGTCAGAAATAAACTCCTCCTGGATTTATCTGAAAGGGATACTGAATGTGTAAAAGGAAACTCATGTTTAGCAAGCTCTGTACTTTTGTAAACTATCTCAGCTTAACTTCCAATAAGGTTGCCAGATAAGGTGCAAAACACCAAGTTAAATTTGAATTTCAGATCATCACCTACACTAAAATTAAGTGTTGATCTGAAATTCAGGATGAACTGGGCGTCTTGTGTTTTATTTGCTCAGTGAAGCCCCCTATCCTTCGATGACCCTGTGTTGACTCCAACCTGGGTGGCTTTCTCTTGCCCCCCTCAAATCTGTAGCCAAAGAAAAGGATGACTCTGGAATGTGAAAATCTTGAAATACCCTTCAACACAGAGATGGGAAGGCTTAGCATTTAAAGTCTTGTTGGGTATCTGAGAACAGAGCAGAATGAAGGCTGTTTTCAGTTTATTCTGAATCAGATTATTAGTGTCAGGGTTGTAGTCAGACTGGAAGGAATCCAGATCATCATTTACTCCAGCGTGGTTTCCCTGATGGAGAGAACAGATCTCAGCCCTGTTAAAAGCAGGGCCTAGACTTCTAGGGCCACCCTAGGGGGTTACTTCACATAACTGGTGGGTGTTTTCCAATTATGACTCATGTAAGATGTGCAAGATGGCATTTGGGTGACAGGCAGACTGGAAAGAGCCATATGGGCTAAGGCTCTGCAGAGCCAGGGGTGGGAGGGAAGGAGGGAATGGGGATTCAGGGAGGCTCCTTTGGGAGAAGCCTATGCATTTTCTCTGGCTCCTAGATGCTGGTGGAAGCCTTCTCAAGCTCTCCACTTATGTTACCATTTTTCCTGACATCAACTAAGAGTAGACCCTGGGAACAGGTTTCTCTTGCACACCTGCCTTCTCTGCAAAAGGAAACCAAAGGCCAATTTCTGCCACAGACACATCCATCAGCCATTGGGGCATTGTTTTGATAAATCTTCTTTTTAATATGAACAGAAAATGTCACTCTTCTCTTGATAATCTCCAATGCAAACCTAACATTTTGGCTTCACATTTCTCATGCCTACGCAACACAGCTTTCTAATTCCACACCACCTCACATTAAGAATGTCCTTTGAGCTAAACTCTTACAGCCCATGATCTGTAAGCAAATAGGATGTCGTGAACCAGGAAAGCTAATGTTTAAAGCAAGAGGAGAATCTGTGTGGACTGTAACTATCTCCACATTTATTAATTCTCTGAATGCCAGCTTTTGCAAGTCTTCTCAAAGATAGGCCTAGCTGGAGATGAATCATCCCACACCCATGAGCTCACCCCAGGCTACCGCGAGACCATGTTGCTGTAGAACACTGGGCACCCAGCAGCTCTCTGGGAGTGCAGAAGGGGATGTAGGAAAGGCACATTCAGGGTCTCCAGAGCTTTCTGAGCTGATGAAATTCTTTTTTTTTTTTTTTTTGAAAATAGATGAAAACCAGGGAAGGTGTTGGTGACCTAGAGTCTGATCCATGCATTTTTGAAAACACTTGAGATTTGGAACTATTTCCCCAGCTCATCCCCCGCTGATGTGATTATTAGGAGTATCTCTTCTCACTGATCTTGATAGAGGGCTGCAGTCTCCAGGGACACGGGATCCCATCATCAGTGGATTTGTTACAAACACCGACTCCTTTCTCTGTTTTGAAAGCTGGAGACAGAGCTGTGCATTCTGCCTTGGCATTTGCTTCACTCTGATGAGCCCAAGCCCTGAGATATTCTGTGGAGAAGCAGTCTGCACCACCGAGAAGCAGAGGAGCCACTGGTCTGTCTTTCCAGAGGAGACTGGTGCAGGGATTTCAATTAAAAATATTCCTGTCACTTCTCCCTGGTTTCGGAAACAGACAGCAGCTTCCAAAGAGAATGAGTTTTGGAAGTTTTTTCCTCAAATGTTTTTCATGTTCTGTGTTCAAAGTCGATGAAAGTGCCTCGTGTTTGTCAGTGTACCCGAATTTCCACTCAACATGTGCTATACACACAGCAGCCAGGGAGAGACGTGTGCATGTTTAAAGGCAGACACTGGATGTTTCAAAAATATCTTTTTACAAATAAAGCCAAATTATGCCAAATAACCTGAAGGAATTTGGAAGGAAATCAAAGACAAACCTTTTGAGGACCATTTGACTTTCACTTTTGAGTTTGGGGGGCAGGAAAGTGAGGACAAACCTGGGTGAGGGATCTCAGGCGCCTTGGAGCTGGTCTCCATGGGGGCCTCCTCTGCCCCAGGACTGGGAGATGCACCTTCAGAATCCAAGGCACAGGGTGGTGATCAGGCCACCTGGACTAATCCCGGCCTCAGTGACTGGGATCAGGATGTAGTCTGTTTTAGTCAGCTATTTTGTTGCCATGACTCAAAGATCTGACCAGGACAATTGTAGAGAAGGAGAAGTTTATTGGAGGGCTCATGTTTTCAGAGATCTCAGTTCATAGATGGCTGACTCAATTCCTCAGGGCTTGAGGTGAGGCTGAACATCATGGTGGGAGAGGGTGGTGGAGGAAAGCAGCTCCGATCATGGTGACCAGGAGGCAGAGAGAATCTCCACTCTCCAGATACAAATATGTACCCAAAGCCGTGCCTGGATTCCCACCACCTCCAGCCACACCCCACCACTTCAGTTATCCCTCAGTGAATCCCTATCAGGGGATTAAATCACTGATTGGGTTAAGAGTCTTACAGCCCAATCAGTTCTCCTCTGAACCTTCTTGTGTTGTCTCACACATGAGCTTTTGGGGGACACCTCACATCCAAGCCATAACATAGTCTCTTCCTCAGGAGGTGGCTCACTCTTGGAGCAAGGTGTGTGGAGAAAGTGAGGCTTTCTCTTTACCTCTGTCAGATGCTTGGTTCAAGGATCAGAGTCAGGAATTCAGCCTGTGCACACACACGAAAGCAACCATCATACCTGGATGGCCAAGTAGAGAAAGCCGAGAATGGACCTCATCGTGACAGCACATCACAAAGCACGTGGCTTTTTGGTTCTACCAATTGACTTTTCCCTCTGTCCTCAGATGTCATCTCATATTCCTCCTGCCACATTTCCTGCCCTTGGAGGGATGACTCCATTAGTTATGCACCAACTACTGGAAACCTTGGTCGTGCTGAA